TCTCGAACCCGCTGGCTCAGGCAATCCTCTCACCTCCACCTCCCAAAGTGCTGGGATTACAGGCGTGTGCCACCATACCTGACCTCTTTTTTTTTTAGTCGGATGTCTCACTCTGTCACCTAGGCTGGAGGGCAGTGGCACCATTACGGCCTCACCACAGTCTCGACCTCCTGGGCTCAAGTGATTCTTCCACCTCAGCCTCCCAAGTAGCTGGGACTACAGGCATGTGCCACCATATCCAGCAGTTTTTTGTAGAGACAAAGTCTCACTAAGTTGCCTAGGCTGGTCTGGAACTCCTGGGACCAAGCAGTTCTCCTGCCTCAGCTTTCCAAAGTGCTGGGATTATAGTCGTGAGCCACCATGGCCAGCCTATTGTCAATATACTCTTTTTTTTTTGAGTTGGAGTCTCACTCAGTCACCCAGACTGGAGTGCAGTGGCCGCTCCCGGCCACCGCAGCCTCGACCTGCTGGGCTCCGGCGATCCTTCCGCCTCAGCCTTCCAAGTAGCTGGAATTACAGGCATGCACTACCACGCCTGGCTGATTTTTAAAAAAATTTATTGTAGAGATGAGGTCTCGCTGCCCAGGCGGGTCTCAAACTCACGGGCTCAGGCAATCCACTCACCTCAGCCTCCCAAAGGCGTGGGATTACAGGCTGAGCCACCGAGCCCGGTGTCAATATACTCTTAATGGCAAATCTGAGCCTACAGTTCTCAATTCCAGATCTCTCCAAGCCTCCTGTACTTCTGATAGCACATGAATGCAACACTCATGCACACACATTTGTCCAGCACGCCTACATACGCCTGCGCTGGGGTGGTGAAAGGGATGATGCAGCCATGAACTAGGCCACCAAGGCCCTTGCCTTTACAGCCTTTACATTCTCATGGAAGAAAAAAGAAGGAAACAAGCACTAAAAAAACACTAAAAAACCAAAAAACGAAAAACCAGAACAAAAGGGGAGTGGCTACTTTAGAGAGGAGGCGGGGTCAAGGGAGGGCCAGGTGGCAGGGCCCTGGCAGTCTTGACACTAGCAAGTGCCTCGAACATATTCAATGACAGAGAAATATGGGTGGGTGGAAGAGGGAGTAAGCTGGGCCCTCAGCAGCATGCAGGACAAGAATGTCTCCTCCCAAATCTGAAACAGGCCCGAGTAGCAAGCACTACTCTAAGCTGCTCATCGTATACTGAGGAAACGGAGAGAAGACAAATGCCATGAAGTGACTGATACCAATTCGTGGTGAGTCGGTGGTAGAGCCGTGGCTGGGGCCAGGTGTGGGCTTATCTGTGTGTCATAGTTTTTCCAATGGAAATCTCTTGCATTGTCAAGTGCTTCTGTGATAAACAGTCCTGGGGCTGTTCTTTGAGAATCAATGTGCAATTGTTCCTCTTTCCCTTACCTTTTATTCATATGTTAGCTTGCTTTCACTACCACATTCAGGTCCCAGCCTTTATCCTCAGACTGCTTACTACAGCCTTCCTAAACAATCTCTTTAACCCTGTGGATCCTTGCAGTTGGTGTCAACAGCTTTCTCCCTGCACTGAGATCAAAAGCCCCGTTCCAGATTTTCTCCTGCAACTGATTTCTCCCTAACTTGTGGCAAGTGATTTCTATTTTCTTTTTGAGTTGGAGTTTCACTCTGTTGCCCAGGCTGGAGTGCAGTGGCATGCTTACAGCCAGCCCAGTGCCGACCTGCTGGGCTCTGGTGATCCTTCCATCTCAGCCTTCCAAGTAGTTGGAACTACAGGTGCACGCTACCACGCTCAGCTATTTTTTAATTTTATTGTAGAGACAAAGTCTTGCCAAGCTGCCCGGGCTGGTCTCAAACACGCAGGCTCAGGCAATCCACTCACTTCAGTCTCTCAAAGTGCTGGGATTACTGGCTGAGCCAACGAGCCTGGCCGATTTCTATTTTCTTACTCACGGCCTCTATTTGCTTGCTTACTGCTTTCTCACTCAACACTAAGTGCCAAGAACTGTGTTAGGCACAAGATATACGAAGAGAAAAGGCACTGTCTTGCTCTCAAGGAGGTTGCTATCTACGATGTGTTCCGTAAGTGGACCATTATAATAAAACAGAGTGCCAGGCACAATGGCTCATGCCTGTAACCCCAGCACTTTGGGAGGCGAAGGTGAGAGGACTACCTGAGCTCAGGGGTTCAAGACCAGCCTGAGCAAGTTGGCAAGACCTCATTTCTACAATAAATAAAAGAATCAGCTGTGTGTGTGGCATGTGCCTACAGTTCCAGCTACTTGGAAGGCTGAGGCGGAGGAATCACCTGAGCCCATCAGGTCAAGGCTGTGATGGCTGTGAGCGTGTCCTTGTACTCCAGCATGGGTGACAGACTGAGTCTCTGTCTGACTCAAATAATAATATTAACAATAATAGAACAGAGTAAGTGCAGTAACAGAGATGCATCTCATCTAGCCTGGGAGCCACGGGCATTTCCTGCAGGAGATGGCCCTAAAGCCTTATGGGTTGAGCAGAGGTAGCCAGACAAAAGGGGTGGGGCAGCTCAAGCAGGGGGACAGCAGCATGTATGAAGAGAACAGAAACAGTGTCTTTTGGAACTTGGAGCTGCTAGAGGACAGGGTGGGAGGTAAAGCCAGATATTCCTCCAGGGTGAGATCACACAGCCCTGTCCATGCCAACCTAGCAGGCTCTGGACGTGCCTGAGACAATGTGGAACCAAGGAAGGGTTTTAGGCTGGGGAGTGAAAGAGTCAGGTGTCAGCTTAGGCAGACTTCATGGTTGGAATAGATCTGGGGGAATAGTAGAGAGGCAAATGAGAATGGGGAGCAGCCTGAGTTGGGGTCTCACTCTGTCGCCCTGTCTGGAGTACAGTGGTCAAATCATGGTCACAGCAGCCTCGACCTCCTGGGCTCAGGTGAGCCCTTCTCCCTCAACCTTCTGAGTAGCTAGAACTATAGGCATGCACCACCATGCCTGGCTTATTTTCTTATTTTTTGTAGAGATGAAGTCACACTAAGTTGCCCTGGCTGGTCTCGAACCCCTGGGCTCAAGCGATCCTCTCCACCTCCCAAAATGCTGGGATTACACGCGTGAGCCACTGCACCTGGGTGGCAGTAGACTTTTTAGTGGTTCAGATGAAGAGGCTCTAAACATGAGCAACGGAAGAGAGATCCAGAGGAAAGTGGGTGGAGTCAAGGAAACGCAGGCTATGAAACGGTGAGGACTTGGTCATGGGATACAAGGCTGGGAGCTGCAGCAGTGTCTCAAATGGAAGTTTCCTCCACGGTTCACTGGTGGGATGACAGAGACGAAAACAGAAGGGAGAAGTCAGAAGGACTAGCGGTCCGGTGCCAAGGGTGACCCTAATGCAGTCTACAGCCTCTGGGTGACGAGCATGTGTCACTGCAGACCCAACGAAGTAACGAGCGTGGGGCTCTGGTGTGGGAAGGAGGCTGCCCGTGGAAGAGGCCATGCTGTGTGTGGGTTGGGGGTACATGGGAACTTCATGATTCTCACTCACTTTTGCTGTGAACCTAAAACTGCTCTGAAAAATACAATCAGCTGGGCTCAGTGGCTCAGCCTGTAATCCTGCGCCTTTGGGAGGCTGAGGTGAGTGGATTGCCTGAGCCC